TCATTGAGTTCCCAAGATAATAGATGCCCTGAGTGGTTTCCTGTTTGCAAGAAAGGAACTAACTCTTTGAAATTCAGACTGCCCCAGGAAATTTAGAATATATGATTACCATACTTAATAATGAAAGAAATATAAGAAATCAAAGTTTATTTTTTTAAAATTCAGCTTAGGTATAACATCTGCAAAACTGATATCTACATAAGAAGCAATATTTACTCTAGAGATGTTCCTAATACCATATTCTTTATTGCTTGGATACTATACAATTATCTACTATGTTTTGTATATGACTTAAATGTCTTTACTAATCAAAAAATAAATCAAATGAACTATATTAATGAAAAGAGACATTAAAATCCCCAAAGTGAATGATGGGGTAGGCTATGCAAGAGGGGGGAAAATACCACCAAATAAACAGAAATAGGTTTGGAAGTATGGTAAATCTGACAAAGGGGATTTTGACTTTTGGATCATTCTGAAATTAAAAAAAATAATATGATGTTACTAAGGATATGATAAATATATTTGCTGCTAATATAGATGGTTCAGTTATGGAGTTTACTATATTTTGAATATTTTATTATTGTCAATCATTTAATATTGATTAGACTAAAATTATGAAAAAAATATGCAAAAAACTGTCCCCTACATTTTCCAGGATCTACATGAATGTAGATATATAAATCCATACATATATACATAGGGTAGCTAGGTGGTGCAGCAGAAAGAGCACCAGGCTTGGAGTCAGGAAGACCTGAGTTCAAATCCAGCCTCAGACACTTACTAGCTGTATAACCCTGGGGAGGTCATTTAGCCCTACTGGCCTTAGTTTCCTCATCTGTAAAATGAGCTAGAGAAGGAAATGCCAAACCACTCCAGGATCTTTCCCAAGAAAACTCCAAATGGGGTCACAAAGAGCTGGACACAACTGAACATGACCCAACAACAAAAAACATACACACATATACACACACATACACACATACACATATATGTACACAATTCAACTGGTACTTTCAAATCTCTGTATTTATTTGCTCCATACAGTGATTTCATCTACATGGCCAAACCCCAGAGGGATGCTGAGAAATTACACAGTGAATGAAAAGAGCCAGAGTGGGTAATTTTGCCCCTCAGTAACAACATCCTTTTTTGGTAGTGGTGGTTATGTTACGCTTTGTTTTGTTTCCCTCAATTATTTGCATAACCACCTCATTTTCCCATTTTATTTTGCTTACACACAGACAGAATATATTATCAGACTTAGCAGTATGAATAGCTAGTATATTTGTCAGAGACAGGATGTGTTCCCATGTATTTCTGGCTTTCAAGTCAGGTCTTTCTCCACTCTGGCACACTGCCTCACATGTTCAACTTTATTTGCATTTTTTCAATTTAATCTTCACTAATTTTACCACATGTAACTCATTTTCACTTTTATTATTCTCCTGAAAATACAATGAAAATAGAACACCTCTTAAAGGCAATTTCAATATATCACTAAAAAAGGGGGTACACCATGGCTTAGAGAATTGCATCTAGCATTCTAAGCCCGATTTTAGAATGACTAACAATAATTCTAGTTCTAAATCACTTAAAATGAATTCTTATTATGAGTTTGTGTGGGTAGAGCTCTGCAAAAGAGAAATAAGGTAACTTTATTTTCCCTGAGAACTGATCAAAAATGCCTTTTCCCCTAGACATACAACTTCCCATTATGGCAATCAATACTAACTGACTTCCATCCGCAGAAGAACACAGTAAAAGGAGAAAGTTCAGAGAGAGAGAAGAAGAATGTGAGAGCACAAAATTTGAGCCAATTAGGATAATATTTCTTTCATTTTATTGATTTTGCTAAGATATATATTAAATTAATGGAAATGTTTTTGGCAGTAAAACCAAATTCTTTAAGCCCCAAGTCTAAGGAGAAATTAATAAAATGCAGTAGGGAAATTAAGGAGAACAAAAGTGCAATGAGCCATAGATAAACCGATTAATTAACAGGATCCAATATATATGTAATTACATTCCTGACGATTTCTCTTTCTCCTAGTTAAACTTTAAAGTTTGGGTTTGGGTCTTTATAAGATTCATATGGCAAAATACTGAAAATTAATTTTAGAATTAGTAATAAAATTGAACTCCTTGCATCATTATTTCCTTCTATCTCAGAAAATCATTTTTAAAAGACATAGCTTCCTTAATTTCTACTTCTTCATTTTCTGCAATAATTTAATGACAATTTTAACACTAAGGGAGCTTGGCATCTTTCTCTAGGATCATATCTGCAAATATTTTCATTTAGAAATGAATAGAAATGAAATACAAAACATTGGGCTTCCTTTTCTTGTGATATATACACACATATATGTATATACACACACACATATACACACATATACACACACAGGTACACATACAAGCACACATACATACATATATATATATATATCATATATATATATATATATATATATATACACGTACATACATATATTCATTTCCTTTTCTTACTTGAGAGAACATATTTACTAAAATAAACTAGACCCAGCATCACTCAGAAAACTCATGGAATTAGTTTGCCACAAAAGTGATATATCTAACCATTAGTGCTTATGAGAAGTCCAGTGTGCTGCTTTTAGCTTGATTCTTTAGGACACTATTTGTATCATGATACATTACATCCTAAAGACGTCCCGTGGTGCCTCATCTCAACATTGATGTAACATTGAGGTTTTCAAAGGCTTTACTGACTGCAGTCTTGCTCCTTTCCAAGGACCAGTTTAGCTGAGGATGGAGATTTACCATGCTAAGATTAGCCATTAAAGATGGTTTTTGTAGGAGTTTTAGCATAACAACCCACAAAGCATTATTTCAACATAGATATTAAAACAATACAAAATTTGGCTCTTTGGTAATCACATAAATGAATTAAGCTGGTCTGTAGTGAACTAGAATACAAAGGAAATTCTGGAGGTAAGTTGAGAAAATAAAAATATAAAATTTCATACCAGCCCCACAAACTGTTGATCAAATAAGATTAAATTATGTTAAATCAAATTGCACTTTTAAAAAGGCTAACGAGCTGCTCTTTATTTCACTATTTGAGAAACAGAGGAAACTACTGATCCCTATCTATAGGGCAGAAAATACAACAGTAGGTAGAATTTTGGTTTATATAGTTTTACTCAGAATGCTCCACTTGTTCCACGGGGGTCAGGAAATGAAGAATCTCTCGTAAAGCCTGGACAGTGCAGTGGTCGTGCTTTTCTTTACACTTGGGTAACTTAGGAACTGTTCCTGGACCTGCCTTCACTGCTCATTTCTCCCTGGCTGCAAATGCAGCAGCAAAAGCATACTGAGCTCACAGTGGTCATAATGGAAAACCCAAAGTTGCCTTAGTTAGCTGCTTAATGTGTTTGCCCTATGCCTCTTTGGAGGATAAGCAGATTTTACAGTTCTCTCCCTATTCAGTCATTGCTGACGGTGAAATTCTCTCTGACACCAGAGAGTTGTATAATTGAAGTCTCAGCCCCATAGGTCAGTTGGTTAGAAGATAGTGCCAATGAGGCCAGCATCAAAGGTTTGATTCCTAAATGGGCCAGTAGCTTTTAATCTGCTGCACGCTCACAGATAGCACCTCTAATACTGGCCAGTCATTTCTCTGATATGAGTCACAAAGCAAAGAAGGCAAAAAAAGTATGTCAGGCTAATACAAATCCATCAAATATATGTATACACACACACACACACACACACATACACACACATATACACACACACACACACAAATATATATACTCAAGCAAACCTTTTACAAAAAATGGAGTGAAAATGTTAATAGACTATAATAATAATAAACTATAATAATAATAGTAATAACTAGCATTTATATAACATATTAAGATTTGCAGAGCATTTCACAAATATTATCTTATCCTTACAACAAACCCTGGGATTTAAGTGCAAGTATTATTCTCAGTGTATATAGGGGAAACTGAGTCAACAGATGTTAAGTGATTTGCCTAGGGTCCACAGCTAGTGTCTGAGGTTAAATTTGAGCCCAAGTCTCTTTATTACAGTCCAGCATTATCTCTATTGTGATACTCTGACAAAGGGTATTTTCATTTTTGTTATTATTGGGTAATTTCAATTCTATCATAATTGTGATTTTTTAAAAACCAGATTTTAATTTCTCTGTATTTGAACAAAGTCTGAAAAGAGAGGGCCAGTAAATATGTGAAAGTCACTTTGGTATAAGTAAAAAATGATTGATTTCCTTAATTTCTATAAAAAAACTCTCCTGAAATTCTAGACAACAGATTCTTTGATGTCATTGACAAATTCATCCTACAAGGAAAAATCTTAATGTTAATTTGGTTTTCCTCAGAATGCTACAATGGCTCCACAAGGTCAGGAAATGAATAATGCTTTGTAAAGCTTGAAGAACATAGCTGTCATGCTCCTTTTTACACTTGGGTAGCTTTTGTACTGTTCCTCAACAGTTCCCATGACCATTTGGGAAGGACAGTTGCAAATTCCTGAATTGTGTACTTTTTTTTCCAGAGTGTATTTTTTAATGTAATGAATATGATGTATCATATTTTATGAATATTTCAGGTTTACATTTCACAGAGGAAAACCAAATCTTCCATGGCTTAATAATAGCAATAAAAATTGGCTTATTTCCGATATATCTTAGGAAGATGCTTACGCACCTCTCTCAGACTATAAGTTTAAGAGAAGGTGGCACACGGCATTGGTAGAGGGGATTTCCTTGACTGGGTATCCTCTATATTAATAAAATCCTTTCCCTAGATGATTACAGGGGTAGGAGAATAGTTAATTAAATTGCTGACTTTCCTTTCCTCACTATATTTGGTCATTAAACATAGTATTCTACCATATGGACAAATTCATAAACATCCAAATTCACATGTCTTATACATTTAAACCCTCACAGGGAGGCAGGAAGAAACCAGCTTGGTTTATTTTATTACCTTTGGAGTTTGCTGCACCAGCTGCAGTTGAACCCAATCTGAGAAGAGACACAAGGTCCACATTAAACTGAAGGCAAGCTAAAAACAATAAGGAAAAAAAAACTTGTCAAAGAACTTGTTTACATTTTTTTTTTTAAAAAACAACCTCTCATAGAAAAAATTTAAAAAAATACTTCTTAAATATATTCAACAGGTCAAAATATCTCTGGATCTCTAGTGTAGGGCTAGAAGGTGTTAATTTGATTTCTCAAACACTCCTGGGAAATGTCAGGACTTTGATTTAAAAATTTGTTTTTTACCCATTCACTTAGCCAGGTAACTTACTAGGTAGTGGGGTCATCTCCACAGCTGAAACATTAGTAATCTTCCCCATCTGGAGTTCTACTCGGTGGTATTCATAAATGGTTCTCCTTCGAACATCTACCAAAAAAAAATGTGAAAAAAAATAACCTCTGAGTGTTTTGTCTAAGCAAATTATATCTCATGAAATAGTCAGTGAATATAGAAATTACATTAATTTCCAGCTGTTTTATATTTAAGTCAAAGTCTTTTCACAAGATAAGATCTATTGATCTCTTAGAGTTATTTCAGGAGCTTTTCCCACTAAGAAATTTATGAAAATTCTGAATGGAGTATCAAGCACTCACTAACTCACTGACGTAGAATCTCAGTAGTTTATTTTCCTCAATTGTAATTGTATTCCAAATTCCTGCTTTCTTAGATTTACGTCTGCTAAAGATTTTGACAACCGAGGCTAAGATGTGATGGCAATAGTTATTCCAAATGAAAGTACTTTCTTTTTTTTTTTCTTTTTTAATAGCATTTTATTTTTTTGATGTCAAGTGAAGATAAATTTTGAGATTCATTTAACAATTTTGAGTACCAAATTTTCTCCCTCTCTCCCCCATCCCTTCACTGAGATGTTAAGCAATTTGATATAGGTTATACATGTGCAACCATGTAAAACATTTTTCTATATAACTTATGTTGTGAAAGAGACAGACTAAACAAAAAAAAAAACCCACAAAAAAAAAAAGCGAAAATAGTGTGCTTCAATCTACATTCAAACTCTATCAGTTCTTTCTCTGGATGTGAATAGCAACTTTCCTCATGAGACCTTTAGAATTGTTTCGGATCATTGTATTGCTAAGAAGAGCTAAGTCATTCATAGTTGCCATTACTGTGTACAGAACCTGGTTCTGTTCATTTCCTTGTGTATCAGTTCACATAAGTCTTCCCAGATTTTTTTGAAATTTGCCTGCTTGTCATTTCTTATGGCACAATAGTAAAATGTTAAATCCATATACCACCACTTGTTCAACCATTCCTAAACTAATGGGCATCCCTTCGATTTCCAATTCTTTGCCACCACAAAAACAGCTACTATAAATATTTTCGTACAAGTAGATCCTTTTCCTAAAGTGGTTCTTCTTTGGGAAGATGCTGATGCTAATAATAAACACTTACACAGAGTTTTAAGGCTGCCAAAGCACTTTAGATATATTGTCTCATTTGAGACTCAACATAATACCATGAGGCAGGTGCTGTTATTCTAGCCCTTTTACAGATAAGGAAACAGCCTGAAAGATGTTAAATGACTTTCTCATTGTCACATAAGCTACTAAATGCCCAAGGGAAGATTTGAACCCAGGTTTTTAGGGGATCAAACCCATCACTCAATTCACTATACGATCTAGCTGCCCCTCAAATTTGGAAAATTAAGACTTTTTCCCAGCTTAAAGTTTAAACTTCAAGCAAACTTGGGGTTAGGTCAAATAGCACAAACTTTGCTTCAAAGTGTTAGTGTAAAATAACTTTCTTCAAAATAAAAAAAGGAGTTTAATTTCAATAAGGAACATATGATCATTTCTTTAAAATAAAATAATAACAATATTAAGGAGACCAAGTAGTATAGTAAGAATAGCACTAGATTTGCAGTTTGAGAACCTGAGTGTGGATCCTAGATCTGCAAAATACTCATTCATTCGACAAGTATTAAGGGTATTGAGTGACACTGGGCAAGCTATTTCGCCTCCCTGAGTCTGTTTCCTTATGTATTAAATTAGAGAGTTGATAAAATTACCCTTACAACTCCTTCCAGTTCCAAATAGATGATTTTAGGATATTCATCTTTAGAGTTCCTTCCATAGGGCCAAACTCAGGTTGTTGGTGATTGCATGCAAACTGCCTTAGCAGACTGAATATCCTTTTGGCCCCAGGTACCAGAGGATGTTTCAAATCCTATCCAACTAATCGAGTAGGTGATTTCTCCATCTTCCTACCACCGCTTATCTGTTCCTTTCTATTTGAGCCAGTTGGATGTAAGACAAGAACTTCCATCCATGGATTGCCTAAAAGTTATGCCCCAGTCTCTGGGGAAGTGAATACACTTATCTTTGAAGATCCAACTAGTGGCCAAGCTAGTTTAATGGTGAATAAATATATGCAAACGAATCCACTTTTCTCACTCTACTGCCTGGCCCTAGACATCAGGTGATACTTTAATTTCACATTCCATCCAGCCATACTCCCAGGCTACTTGCATGTCCCACCCCTTTTCCACTTCTTTAGCACAAAACATCCTGCCCTGATCACTAATATCCTATGTGGGCTGTTGTCCCATATTAGAAAGTAGGACAGTGACTAGAACATAGTAGGTGCTGAGTAAATGATTTTTCCATTTATTCATTCATGGAATTTATAGACCACCATACTAACGTAATTACTTTGTAAAAATTCATTCACTACAATACTTAAATGAATTTAAATAATGGCCCCAATGAATAAAATGGGCTGTTAGAAAGCAACAGAAATTTATCTTTGCTATTTTTTAAAAATTGTTTTGGAAGGAGGAAATAGACCTGTGGTTTCATTGGTATAGGGAACTCCCAATGAGTTAACTTTTATCAAATATATCAACATCTACTCTGCAACCTATAGTTGCTGAGGGCAATGAGAAATTAAGTGATTTGCTCAGGGTCACCCTGCTAGTAGTCCCACAAGAAGAATCTGAACCTTGGTCTTCCTCACTATAAGCCCAGACTCACTATAAATATTTCCACTGTGGCCAGGTTGATAGTTGTATACTAACCATCATAACAAAGAAAAGAGACAACTTTCTTTCAAGAGACTTAAAATCTAGCTGGGGACATAATTAGATCAATGTGGAAGGCACTCTGTAAGTAATATTTCTGCTTTAAATGTCAGCTGTAGCTATACACAAAGTAATTTAACGGGTACCCATGAATGCTAACAAAGTACAAATGAGGTTAATATAGTATTTGCGGAGATTGTCCCAAAAATCTTAGTGAAGTTTTTAGCTCTTAAAGCCTAACCCAACCTAAAGCAATTAAGGAAGCTTCTCATCTCAGACACACACAAACCATGGGCAACTGAGTTTTTGATGACATTGCCCCCAACTGGCATCTTAAATGACATGCCTGGTTCAGTGATTTCATTCGCAGAAGGAGCCCCCAGTGAGGAAACTCCCTGTACTAAAGCCAATTACCAAGTCTTCTATAATTTACAACTTTAAAAAGTTGCCTGGAGAATTGCAGAGTTATGGACTTAAATCTATGGCCTATGGCCATACAACCATTATGTGTCAGAGGCCAGATCTGCCTGACTTTGAGGCCAGCTTTATCTCCATTAAGCCAAATGCCAATTCTGAAGAAGGTCATTGGAGTCAGTGGCATATGGTAGAAAGAAGATAGTGTATTTGTAGTCCAGAGGCCTGCATTAAAGTCTTACCTGTGTAACCTTAAGTAAGTCAGTTTATTCATTTAGCCCTCAGTTTCATTATCTGCAAAATCAGGTCCTTTCATTTCCAACAACCTATGAATACATTCATCCTTTTTTTTTTCTTTTTTTTAACTATCTCCATTAAGGCACCAACATTTCCTGAGGGGCACGTTCAGTTGAATAAAATAGGAGGGACATGGGTTCACTTGTACCTATGTATGCATAATATTTAGGCATATGGATCATGAAAACTATTTTTCTTTTTCAACATTTGTCTTGGGGGAAAAAAAGACCAAGACTGATTAGTATCATTAGATTTCGCAGCACACTGAATTCCTACATAGTTTCCCATTTATTTTGCTAAACAAGAAAATTAGATGTTAAAAAAAGGAGACTGTATGGATCCATAATGGGGATCCTATAATGACAGATTAAAAAAATCTTAAGCCCCCCCCCAAAGGCTGTTTGTGTTTATTAATCATATTCAAGGAGCAATGAATGGGAAGAAGCAGACCTTTTTACTTTGTTAGGCATTGTACTTCTTCAGATATCTCTAGAATGGTGGCAGCCTGGGGGAGTGGAGAATATTTGAAAAGCAAAATTAAAATAATAGTTTTGGGCTGTTCTACTGCCAGTGGCTAGTGAATCCAAATGGTCAATTCTACAATATTTCAGAGATGCACCTGCCAAATAATATTGATTATCAGTGTGTCAGCTCTACAGCCAAAAATGTAAGCTTTCATTTGTTTATGCAAACATGTATTATATGTTTACACATATATATAATACGTGTATATACACATACATATATGCATATACAATATGTGTGTATATGCATACATTTATGTGTACGTGTACATCTATATCTATATATATTTCTGTCTAAAGAAATAAACTCAATTAATTTAAAACCAAAAAGCTTTGGCTCTAATACTTCAAATGAACCCAGCTAAACTAGTGCTTTCTCTCTTAGCAGAGGTTATACAATTTGGACTGTTTTCTTAGCATGTCATTGAATCAGGACCTGTTCCAATACCTAGCAATGACGGATCTGTCGAAAACCAAAATTTCCTTGTAACACAATCAAACATACAAAATCTAATTAATTATCCAAAAAGCCTAAAGCTATGTGCTAAAAAATGCTAATTTTAAATCATGATTTGTGACCAGCATACATTACTGATTTAATTATAAGGCATAATTGGCAAATTCAGGAGATACTTTCAATAGCAATCATTTTCCATGTGCCCATATGGGAATACAAGCAATCCAATTTAAGCAATATACAATACTCTTTGCAACAATTATTCTTAGCAATAAAATGTAAAATACTACTTAAATGAAAATTATTAGTATTTACTTCAATTTGTTTAGTTTCTATAATTTCACTGGCATGGCTATTTCTTCTACCAACTCAAGCCGTAATCTCACTATGATGTGTTCTTTAGAGTTACCATGGTTAAAATGTCATCCCCTGAAGCCAATCTTGTGATGAGCCCTCCAAGGCCAGCTAGTCTAATCATCAGGCAATAATTCGCTACCACGTACACCCCGTGACATTTTCAAGAAAGACAGAGACGACAAAAGTTGCTCTTCACAGGCACTGCTTTCAAGAGTTCATAGTTACCTTACTGCCAACAATGAGGCATCACAGTAGCATTTTCCTGGCAGTGACTTAT